ATATATACATATATAAATATATAAAAAGTAAGTGTTAAGTAACCCTGTGTCTTTTTAGGGGGTCACTGGTGTGTTGCATTCTGATTTTTTTGGGGTTACAGGCTACAATGTTTTAGAAACCCCAGTGGCCATAAACCAACCCCTTCTGCACAGTTTGTCCACCATATCAGGACCAGACTTCAGTCTCCATTTGCCTGTCGGTCCTCTAAAGTTATATATTAAATAATCCACAAAATGTCCTAGCAGGGTGCATAAACAATTACAAACACACATCATGTTGGGATCCAACATAAAAACTTTTAATGTTGATTTGTTTCTTTCTTCCACATCTAAATCTATCAACCCTGCTCACAGCAGTGGAAAAGCTGATTTTATCATTGAGTCCAGGTTTGAGCTCATGCTTTTATCGTCTGCGTAGGTTTTCTTCTGCTTTAGCCAGTCTGGAAGCTGCATTGCCAACTTGTTGAAGAGAGGAAGGAAATATAAAGCTGGGTTGGCGCAGCGGACAGTTTTATCAAGGCTACAGCAGCATGGATGAACTAAGATGGGGAGACGGCTCTCTCTCCTCAACATACAGTTGAAACCAGAAGTTTACTTAAAAGTTTACATCCCCTCCTATTAAAGAAAATGATCACTTCACACTAGTAATTCAAGTGACACAACTTTAGAAAAACTAATAGTAAATACAAATTTACTAAATTATAATTTAGTAAAATAAAATATTGATTTTGAATTTTTGTTTGGTAAAAGTATTCTTAAAAAAAAAACATTAGGGAGAAAAAAATGTATTATTGCTTGAATGATAGTGGATCAATGTAATTTATTTAGATAATCCGGCAGCAGGTGAAGATGAAATATAAAAACGTTGCTAAAATAGGTAGGACCTGTGCATCATCTCATGGTGTTCCTCCTCATTTTGATTCAGTCATCCATCACACAGTAAATACTAATTGGCTGTTTGCAGGATGTTATCATCCTAATAAAGGGCCGTCATTGGCGGTAATCAGTCCAATAGAATGTCTTTAGATTATGCCTCTTAATTAGCAGTAGACTCAGTAGGTTTTATGACTGAGTGAATCCTAATCCAAGCCCTAAGATTATTCTTTTTTCTGTGGAATTAGTTAATCTATTTATGTGTAATCTGAAAATAATTTCAGTATTTCTTCATGTACTGTAAAAAAGTGATCCGCATGTCACTCATATTAAACAAACCATAAACAATCAAATCTCATATCCTGTCAGGTGAGTTGTAAAATCCTCTCCAGATCATTCTTTAATAAGATCCTGGTCAAACGGGGATGCAATGTTTGTTTTTAAAACCTAATGTGTCCAAATTAATGTTGTTTTTTTTGTATGCACAAAACTCTCCTGACTAAATCAGGGAATAAAACGACATTATTTTCTCTTAGGAGAGCAGAAACAGAGGATGCTCTGAGTTCACTGAAAAAACCTGCTCCAGAAACAGGTTAGCTCTGGGGAGAATGTTACCATGGCAACAGAAACAGAGGTTGAATAAATGGACAAACTCAGAGTTTCCCTGATTTCAGGTTTAGGAAACTAAGAGTTTTTAGTAAACCTGATTATTGAAACTGACCCCTGCAGGATGAGGTAATCTTTCTGAAAACTTTGTATGCAAGCAGAGTGAGCTGCTGGTGTATCAATAAAAAAAATCATATAAGGTGATTATCTACCTCTAAAGGCAAGGGTATCAAATATTAATAAAAAAATGTATGTAAATTCCTTACAATCAAGAACAACTAATAAAACAATGCCTAGAAAAACTGAAATATTTAGGTAAATTATGTCACTTAGACAGAAAAGCTTTGTCTTAATGTCATGTCTGACAGTAATATGGTGTATGTAAACTTATGGTTTCAGCTCTATAATATGGGAAAGCTGTCTCTGCATTTCAGGAGCTCCTGGTGGAGCCCAGGTCTGGCGCTCCATTGCTGCTACCCACACACTAATTATAACCACTTATACAATGACGCCAGGGAGAGAGAAAAATGAGGCTGTGAAAAGGCTAATGACCTGGTTTGTCTATCAGGTGAAACACAAGGGAAGCTTCTAATACCATTTGCATACAGACCAACATTTGATCTTTTTAGGTTTGACACATTTTTTCGAACCATCTGCTTGCAGTCTGCTGTTTAACACTCCTCAGATTGATGTTTATTTGCAAACCATTTGGACCAACACCTCACATCTTAATACATTCTGTGTTTTTTGGTGATTCTACGGAAGCAGGGAGCTCTATATGATCCTGATGACTAAAACACCTGGATTGTAAAGACGGGCGGAAGGAGGCCCCCCTTTCCAGCTCAGTAAAAAGCAGAACTAAAAACAGGAACCTGTCTGCTTATCTTAAGTGAAAATAAGGAATATTCAATTAGAGTTCCCCACAGATGGCAGGCTGGCTTTTACCTTTTTATTAACAGCTTGAGTGGTGAAACATAAGTAGAAATGTGGCTAAGGTCATAAGTGCACAAATGCAATCCATATGGGAGAAATTCCTGGACATGCATAAGTGGTTAACTCCCACACAGAAGTGAAAAAAAAAATACCCTCAAAATCCATCAAAGTGGAAGATTAGTAATTCCTTCTTATGAGGCTGATGTGGAGGCAGAGAACAAGCGAAGAACCTTCAAGTTTTACAATCCATGGACAATGTTGCACACATTCATGACTGTACATTTAGAAAAACAGGAGGAAATATTTATATATTTTTTTTATTATAAGGTTAACATTGTACATGTTTTGTTTGTTTTCCAATTCTGCACTTGAAAAAAAAAATCCGCTCTGTCAGGAGGACAGGATCTGCTGCTACTGAGAAATAAAAACACATTAATTAATAAAAGCAGAATATCTATCAGAGGGAACTTCATTACCTTTGGTATCCAAGTCGGTTGTTCTACTATTGTTAATGCGAGTAGGAAAAGAAGAAGCTCTTGCATGGCTAAAAGAAGCTGGATTTATTAAAATAACAGCTAAGTTATTTGTTGCAGACACAGTCATGTCTGTACAAACAGACTTTCTCAGTAGCTTATTGTTTAAAACATGGGACCTACAAGTCGGACACATGGCGTTGTATATGGAAAGAGCTGAACCGTTCAGGGAGCTTACATTTTTGTTGGCCATGTGGTGAAAAGCGACCTGAATATATGTTTGGTTAAAGAGAATATGGACAAATCTTGGGTTATTCTACAGGCGGGCAAGCAGAGAGCATGTTTAAAGTCACTTCTTAGACATAGAGAAGAAGGAAGCTTGAAAAGGTTGTTTACTGTTGTACATATTTTCTTTCGGGTTAGCATTTATACAGGATCTAGAGCATGGTTTTCTAATGCTGGTCCTCAGGGCCTTCTGTCCTTCATATATTAGATGTATCTGTACTTAAACACACTTCATTCAAGTGGTTGCTTTTCCTCCTTTTGTTGGTGAAATCTTAAGTTTGCTTTTTCTTATTGCTAATAAAACCAGCTGCTCTTTGTTGTGGATATTGCAGTCAAACGGACAGATTTTTAGGTTTACGCCTCTAAATACCTGCAAAAATTTGGTAATATTGGTTGGATTCACAGCCCTACCTATGCTTGGTAATGCTTGAGGTTTATATCCACTTAAAAAATGGAAAATCAGTACAGCTAACAGCGATGTTAGCCATCACAGTGTGTTTCTCAGCTTTTTATTCAAACTGAGACCAACACCAGAACATACCAAGGCAGAGACATAACCAATCCCATAATATACCAAACCAAAGCACACCAAGAAGAATACCAGAACATACCAGCCCCACAACTCAGACCAGAGCATACCAATACCGCAGCATACAAATACCAAGATAAATGCATAATAAGACAAAAAAGATGACCAAGACCAGACCATAACAAGACTAAAACAAGACCAGGATCAGGGTATACCAATACCAGGACCAAGACAAGGCCAAGGTCAGATCATACTAATATCAAGATAAGACAAAGACCAAAGCATACTAATACCATCAGTAAGACCCGGATATATCAAGACTAAGCCAAGACCAGAGCATACAAAGACTAAGACAAGACCAAAACAAGACCAGAAACAGATCATACCAATACCAAGAGAAGAGAATACAAAACCAAGACATAACAAGACCAGAGCATACCATTACTAAGAGAAGACAAAGACTTTAAGGGAGGTATATCAAGATCACTGCAAGGGCCATGAAGACCAAGTTACCTATGACAGGCCTGCAGACTGACTGGTTGCACTGCTGTCAGGTCTAAGCACCTAAAACATCATACATACATACAAGGAAAGAAAGAAAGCACAGAGACAATTAATTTAGTTACTCGCAAGGAGAGTCGGAAGAGACTGCAGAGTTTACAATCTCCACCTCACTCTGCAGTCCCAGCGTTCTCCATCGCTATTTATTGTTCACTAATCACAGTATACTTCAGAAAAGGTGGCTATGAAAACATGCACATAGTACACAGCTTTATGCATGATAACACTACACAGATATATTTATATACAATTATTCTAACAACTGCTGTGCCTGACTTTTTCAGATGCAATGCATCAACATCCAGGTGAACTTATATCCAAATTGTTCCTCAACTACAACAAATTGAACTGGTTAGAAGTTCACTTAGCTTTCTTTCCTTTGCATATGATACCAACAGAAAAATATTCCTGGATTTTACTCGATAATGACCCTCTTTTTGTTTTCTCACCCACATTTGGGAACATGTAATGAATTATGCAAGCTGCACAAAAAGGGATTTCAGAGTGTTGTCTTGACTTAGTCTATAAAAATCTTTCCTCTGCTTTTTCTTCTAATGTGCAGGTGCTGCTGCCACCGATCGACGACCACATCAGTGTCCCTTGTAAGCAGGCTCCTCCGGCCTGCATCTCTGCTGAAGCTACAGCATGAAAACACTCCTCTCTTTGAATCCCCCTGATTGGATGCTGCTGTTAATACTCAATACAACAAAATGATGCACCACACTGCCTCTCAACATTACATCCACAAATATCCATAAAAAGTAAAAAACCCTCCACCTCATGTATGCATATTCGCTCACCGCCCCCATTCCTTCTGGTATTACCGATTAAATTATAATTTCCCTGTAATTCATCTGTTCTCTTCTTCTGAGGTTAATTCCAAGAATGGTTTGCATTATTATGCATTAGAATCAACCCAAAAAAGCATGACAGCTGTAGAAAGTTGGATAGATGACATATATTTTTGTTAACTTAATAATTGTTCTGTGTGTTTGCAACAGTATTATATGGGTCTTAGTTTATATAGACATATTTATCTCTTGCACAATGCTAACATGCTGTCCACAGTATGGATTGGTGCAGGATTGGGTGTGGAGTTTTCATGTATTTGTCTCTGCTCATGATCAAGGTTGGATTGCCTTCTTTCCCAACTGTCTCTCTCAACTGGTTTGCACTTAATGTATGAAGTGTCACCTAAATTTGAGATTCTCCAAAGAGATGTATCTGCCTGTATTCTGACATGATCAAAGAGCAGCCCTAATGTATATCAAGCATATCACATTTTTTCTATGTTCTGTTTGACTAGAAACATAATTGTGTTGTAATTAGATGAATAGAGTTTTGCTTGGTTAAATTTTAAATGTGTTTCTACTGACCGGCGAGAAAATGTCTTAGGTTGCTGTACTGTTTTTGAAGCACTGATCTGGAATCAGTTTGCTGTGTGAATGATGGAAACCTGGAGCGTCAGAGAAAGCAGGTCCTGTTTGTGTTTTTTAAATCAAGGAAAAGGGAGTTTGAGTCTGTGTAAACATTACAACCATCAGACTGAGTTATTGGCTTGTTGCTCTGTTATGCAAGGATACAAAAGTCACTGTTGTAAAACAAATATTTGAAGTGATATTTCTTGTGTATTAAAATTAAACTACCTTGACAGGTGATGTGTTTTTTGTTCTTGGATTTATATCTATTTGTCCTGATTTTCTGTGAAGGCCTCAGAGGTTTGTTACCCTTAGTGAACAAAAAACATAATAATAATTCAAGATTAGAGCATTTTACAGAAGTTGAATCCATCGTTTGGAAAGGGAAATCATATTTTGAATGCTACAAAGTTCAGGTAACTAACAAAACACAGTATCATGCTGCTTGGAAGCTAATCTTTACCACAGACATAGAAACTTGCTCAGTTTATAGGGTAAACAATTAAACAAAAAGCAATTTGGAAAGAAAACCAGCAGCAGACACACAGAGGTTTAAAGTAAGTTTGTGTATCTAAATCTAATTGAGAATATGTGACAAGAATTTAAATTTATATCTTGCCATCTAATCTGTATGAACTCCAAAATCTCTAAGGCTCTTTCTGGATTGGGTGAATTATAGCTCCTAGTTTTAGTTTTTAGCTCCTATCCTTTCGCCTTTCATGGTATCAACAGTAAGGAAACTTTCCAGGATGGGAAAGGAACTCCGGATCTGGTGCCGGACAGCCTTCCTGTCATTATGGGACAGAAATGCACATGGATGACGCTTGTCATAAACGAGACTACAGCCTTTTGAGAAAGAACTACAATAAAACAAGTTACACAAATATAGTGAGCAGTTGAAGCCTAAAACTATGACGGATTATTAGGACCAGGCTAGAGATTTATTTTTTATTTTTTTATTTCAAGAATAAAGTTGTAAGATTACGAGAATAAAGTTGTAATATTATGAGAATAAAATCATAACATAATAAGAATAAAGTCATCATACAACAACCCATTTCAGAAAGAAAGCTTTGAGCTCCGACCAGCACATAACGGCCGAGCAGTGGCACCAATCAGCAACCTGAGTCTGCTTTGACATTCTGCCCAATGTGATGCTGGTGCTAAAAGATTTCCTTATCTGTCAAACCAGAGCCAAAATATAACTTCACTTAATGATCGACATTCCTCATTTTAGTGAAGAAAGTGCTTCTTGTAAGTTTTTTTTATCAAATACAACTTGTTTCTCGTAACTTTAGGACTTTATTCTCTTAATATTACAACATTATTGGAGTATTGGATGTGAGTGCTATGTGTGAATGTGAGTCCGGGTTTTTTTTTTTTTTGTAAGGTTGGGGTCTGAACTGCTCCCTCTCCCAAGAACATCTCAAGTC